GTTCTCGAACCCGTGGGCTCAGGCAATCCCCTTACCTCGGCCTCCCAAAGTGCTGGGATTACAGACTTGAGCCACCATGCCGGGCCTGCATCTTATTATGGGTGGCCCACATGGCATCTTGAAAAGAGCCTAGGCTCAGAGGACCTATGTGTGGATCCCAGCTTCGCCCCCCTGGTAATGCCCACCTCTTGGGCTGAGGGAAGGGCTCAGTTCAGTGAGCTGATAATACAGGAAGCCCCAGACACCCAGCTGTGCCTCAGGGGCTTGTTGGCTATCCGTGGGGCCAAGTGCAAGCTCCCACCCCTCCTCCCAGATCCCGGATGGCCACTCCCTGCAGACAGCACATCACTCCCTCCTTCTGGCAGCTCACCTGCCCTTCGGCACCTGACGATGTGGCATCTTCCTTCTGGAGAGTGCACTCACCTGTTGTCTCACTTAGCATCAGGGCGGGGTGAGAAATGAAACCCAGGGAGGGAAGGAAGGATACTGACACCGTTCAAGCACCTGTGATGTGCCCAAGGTATTGTACCCCTGTGTTCTTTTTTGCAGCAGCCCAGGGGAAGCTGTTATCCTCCCACAGCATACATGTGGACATTCAGAAGTGGGCAGTGACTTGTCCAAGGTCACACAGCAAGGAACTGGCAGAGGCTGAGGGCAAACCCAGGCCTTTCTGACTCCAGAGTCTGGAGTTTTGAGCAAACATTTGCAGTGTGGGGTCGACAGATCTGTCCCCCAGGGCTGTTCTGAGGATGAGATGCGGTCATTGGTGTGATGGTGCCTGGCATACAGTACCCAAGGACTGGGAGTAAAGATGGAGTTTTGTGCCCCCTCCGCCTGATCACACAGAGGAAAGGGACAGGAGCCCAGGGAGGGCTGTGCTGTGCCCAAGCTCATGGCATGCGATTGGCAGAGCCCAGGCTCCCTGACCCTGGGACACTGCCTTCCCTTTCCCACCCCTTCCCTGTCAAGGGTAGGGGCCTTCCCTCCTGGGCCTTTCCCTCTCCAGAGAGTGGAAACTTCCAGAGTTCCTCCAATCTGGCAGAAGAGGGAACAGGAACAGGAATTTCCAGCCTGGCACACAGAGCTGGACCTGGGACTGGAAGTTGGAATCCAGGGATTTGCCACCCCAAGGCCCTTAGCACTCCTGTCTGCCCCACTCTCCCTGGCACCTTCACACCTTGCTCCCCCCCCCCCCGCCCAGTCAGACGTCCCAGAGGCGCTGCTGGTGTCCTTAGAGGGGCAGATAGGCAAGACCCAGGAGGTGAAGGCCATGTGGGAAACTGGGGAGGCCACTCCCAGTGCTCAGCGTGGCCAGAGCTGAGGGATCACGGTCCGCACCCCACTCTCCCACTGTCTAGAAAGCTGCAGCCCCTTCCTTTCAAATAAGACCCACAGCACCTTCCCCTTCAGCCCCCCACCGCCAGCAGCAGGCCCCAAAGGAGGAGCAGGGAGACCTTAGGGGGACAGCAGCCTGGCTTGCTCAGCTGGACCCTGGCGTTCTCTTGTTGAACGTGAACGTCACAACATTGGCATCAGCCAAGGCCACTCTGTGGCTGCGATGGGTGAAGACAAACCAAGGCCATTCGGGATGAGCACAGGCAAAATGGGAACAAAAATGACCACACCACCTCTCCTACCTGTGGGATGGCCACTACTTTTTTTTTTTTGAGTTGGAGTCTCACCCTGTCACCCAGACTGGAGTGCAGTGGCCGCTCCCGGCCACCGCAGCCTTGCCTGCTGGGCTCCAGTGATCCTTTCGCCTCAGCCTTCCGAGTAGCTGGAACTACAGGCGCGCGCTACCATGCCCAGCTAATTTTTTGATTTATTGTAGAGATGAGGTCTTGCTAAGTTGCCCAGGCGGGTCTCGAACCCACGGGCTTAGGCAATCCACTCACCTCGGCCTCCCAAAGCTCTGGAATTACAGGTTGAGCTACTGAGCCCGGCGGCCACTACTTCTTAGCCAATGACAGCATCTGGTGTTCCTTCCTTCTGGATGGGATTGAGAAAGATGTCTGGTCATGGAATTAGCCTTGCCTCCCAACAGCATCCAGCCTGGCGCAGAGACCTGCTTCCTTAAAATTTTCCTAAACCACCTAACACAAGCCCAAATCCGATGACAAGCCCCTTTTTATTGTACTGTATTGTATTTTATTGCATTGCGTTGCATTGTGTTGTATTTTTTAGAGACAGGGTCTCACTCTGCTGCCCAGGCTGGAGTGCAGTGGTGCAATCATAGCTCATTGTAGCCTTGTACTCCTGGGCTCATGTACTTCTCCTTCTCCCACCTCACCCTTCCAAGTATGACTACAGGAGCACCCACACCCAGCTAATTCTTAAACTTTTTGCAGAGACGTGGACTCGCTATATTGCCCAGGCTTGTCTCGAACTCCTGGGCCTAAGCAATCCTCCTGCCTCAGCCTCCCAAAGTGCCGGGATTACAGGTGTGAGCCATCGCGCCCAGCCCACAGGTCCTTCTGACACCTCTTTCAGAGACGTCCCATGGCTGCCTGTGGTGCTTGCTCCCCCCACCGTGACAACAAACCCAACTTGTTAACAACAGGTGTGCTCCTGGTGGCCTTTGCTGCAGGATCCCCCCACATAACCCCGCAGCATAAAAGCCATGGGTACATCAGCTCTGTTGGCAGGCGAGGAAACCGTGGCTCATGGAGGCAGCCAGACTAGTCCAAAGACACAGAGTTGGTCGGGTGAACACATAATCCAGCCACCAAATGGGATCCCTTTGAGAGTGAAAGGAGTCACTACTCGCAACTAAGCAGAGGCAAGGGCGTAAACCGAGACCTTCTCCATCACAGATGCAGGGTGGGGAGACCGACCCTGGGCCTCGCCATCTCTCTCCACGGCCAACCCCCCTGCAGACCCCTGGGACGAGGTGGGCACCTCCCTGCTGGCAGGCCTGGAAGGAAGCCAGAAGCTCTTCTTCAGGTCTGAGGCCTCTGCTGTTGTGCTTCAGGGCGTGGGGACTCCTGGAACCCATCAGCACACAGCCGCTCCACACTCGGGCCACCAGTGGGTTCTCCCTCTCCAGAGAGGGCGCACGGTGACCCCAGGCACGGTGCCTCATTTACCCTGCCCTCGGGGAGAAGGGGCAGCTTTCCAGAAACTAACTTGCAGGTGAATGAAGGTGACCTTTAAATGCTGAAAATGGTTTTATTTTAGCCATGGGTGCCGGGTCTCTTCTGATTGGGTCACGGCTGGCCTCAGTCGACAGAGCACAGAAGCGGTTACACTCCCTCATCCGAAGACATGGGCGTGAGCAGGACACCTGTCCCCGAGTCACGCCAGCAGAGGATGTGCCCCGTGGCACCCCTATCTGCAGAGGCAGAAAGGATCCAGAAGAAGAGGGAGTGTATTTCAGGGACGTGATCTTCTGCCCAGCACAGGAGACATCACCTTCCCTTGTCCAGGACCGGGGGCCAGTCCAGGTGAAGGTCTCCGCTCCCAGATGGCCTGGGGTGCAAGCTCTGAGTGTGTGGTCCTAAGGCTGAGGTAGTGTCACTGCCCATTTTCCCACCCCCACAGCCCCCTCCCGCAACAGCTGTCGCAATCCCTGGATTGGAGCACACAGGGGCTCTGCAGAGATCAGCATAACAAAAGCAACACTCTGAATTGCTACAACGTAATACAGTGATTTCCAATGGGGTGGCAGAGGCCGCCTGAGCTACTGGCTGCAAGGTCGTCTCTCTGTTGCCTCTGGTGTGTCCATATTTTACTTCTCTGCTCCTGCCTCAGGTTCTGCCCATGTTTCATCTCCAGCTTGCAAGAAATCAAGTTCACGAGATCGTGCGCCCTTTGAGGGCAAGACTGTATCAGCGGTTCAAGTTTCTTTCCCCTGGAAAGCCCAGCTTAAGTGTCTGGCACAGAGCGGATGCTCAGGAAACGCCCCTCGATTCAACTGAATTAAACCAGGAAGCTGAATGTCACCCACCAACCCTAAGTCAAGGCAAGTATATTCCACAAGCAGGGAGTGCGGGAGTTGGGGCGGACGGTGTCCTCTGGGAGCTTTTTGTCTGGCTGGCTTTGTGACTATATACGAGCCACTCAGAAGTTTGAATGCCAGAGAGTAAAAGGGATGCGAGTCTAAAAGTTGGGAGAGTGGGGAGGGTGGCGTTATTTGCAAAAGATTCCTGGGTCGTGGTGAATTCTCTACACCATGAATGACCACTGACTCTGGGCCAGGTCAGAATTCCAACCAGGCGCAGGCGATCTGAGATGAGTAAAGTCGCGATGTCACCCTTGAACAGGAGGCAGGCAGTCACGCCACCGGGACAAATGTACAAGGCAGTGCAGAGGAGCAAGGACTACCTTGGCCCGGGAGGCAGAGGCATCAGAGGCCTTCAGGGGGGTCACCTGCGGAAGGATGAGCACAGATATGCCAAGTTGACAAGGAAGCCAAGAACATCCTGGTGGAGAGCGTTAACCGCAGGACTGGGGGGCACAGGCCTGCGACTGGAGGAGCAGAGAGAATGAGGTGGGATGAGGTCGGGAGGTCAGCAGGGGTCAGTCACAGAACGTTTTGAGCTGGTGAAGCTGCGGGGGAGGGGTACAGGGTGAGAGCAGACATGCTTAGCTCTGAGTGCAGACAGATCACACCACCTACCAGGCAGACCACAAGATATAATGGGAATGGAACACCTGAGAGGCCTTCACAAAGGGTCAGGAGCCTAGGGGCAGCACCAAACAAGGTCCCTGTCCGAGGCCAGCTTTAGAGAGATGTAAAAAAGACTTTGGAAGGCCTCGGTCACTGCAAACCCTCTGAACAAATCATATTTTGCCCTTCAAGTTTTTCTAAAGAAAACTAACTACTGGAAGGGCGACAGTTCATCGACAGTAACCATCTCCTCCCTGTGCATTTCTTTACAGTCCTCAAAATGCTCTCAGGTCCACCATTTGAGCCTCCACGTGGTCCCATTTTGCAGACAGGGAAACTGAGGCCCTGTGATATCACACAGGGGCCGATAGCAGCTCTGGGCAGTTCCATCTCAGCCCTGGGCATCAGGCTCAAAGCCCAGTTCCTTGTCTGGGAGGGGGTCCCCAGGGCCATCTGGAAGCCCATAATACAGGTCTTCCTCTTCCTCCTCAGGTTCCTCCACACCTGTATCTGAAGCCTCCTTCTCCTCCTCCCTTGTCTTTGGGTACCCCTGCCAGTCGTTGGGCAGGACTACCTCCCGTGGCTGTCCCTGTTGGGGCAGATCCTCTGAGGCGGGAGCGTCGATCAGGGCAAAATCTTGGAAGCGGTCTGGTGGGCATTTGCAGGCCCACGGTTCCTGTGGTGGGAGGTGGGGCTCCTCCCCATCAGGTGAAGATGCATCGGGACTGCTGCCTTCACTGGAGCCCGCATCCAGGTCGTCTTGGAAGGAGGCCAAGGGGGCAGGGCCCTGGGGACAGGCCAGGGGGCTGCAGGGGCAAAGACCATGAGGGTGAGGGTAACCCTGAGTCAGACTGCCTGGGTCCAATCTCAACCACTAGCTGCAAGGCCTGGGGCAGACCAGTTCACCTCTCTGGGCCTCAGTTTCTTCCCCTGTAAAGTGAAGGGAAATAATAGTATTCACTCCTGCCATTGTGTTTAAGGGTTACAGCAGATAAAACGTGCAAAGCACTTCACACAGAGTAGGCACATAGTAGGTGCTCAAGAAATAGGGCTATTATTATGTTCTCATCTGAGCCAGGCCGCTCGTCCACTTTGCCAGTCATTCAGGGCTCTCCTCTGGTCCCTCACAGGCCCAGTCACACTGGGGTGTCCTGTTTCCTGGCCCGACCCCCGCCCCGTTGGGCTGGGAGGTCTTGTGGGGTGGAGGCCAGTGAGGCCATGCAGGGAGAAGGTTCCCAGGGATGTCGATGGATGAGGAACTTGGTTCACAACAGATAGGGTCGGGATGGGTAGGGTGAGGAGTGGCCTGCCCAAGGACACAAAGCAGGTCAGCAACAGAGCCAAGATTTAAACTTCGGTCCTCTAGCTCCCAGCCCCCTGCTACTCACAAGCGTTCAGAGACAGCAAGGGCCTACTGTGTGTCGGGCACTTAACTGCATCCTTACGACATCCCTGTGTGGTAGGGATGATTACCCTGGGTGGGGAAACTGAGGCCCAGGAGAGTAAGGAACTCGTCAAGGTTACCCAGAAGAGGAGCTGGGATTTGAACCCAGGCCCGTCTGACTCCCAAGCCCACACTCATTTGTCGGCGACACCTGCAGCTTCTCAGGGCCTCCCGCACCCTCCACTGCCCTTCCCACTGTCCGCACCTGCCCCTCAGTGGCTCCCCACCCCTC